TGGCCCTGTAAAAATATTGGAAACAATTTGTGTATGCAAACTGAATTCTTTGTTCAAAGATATTATTTCGAACTTTAAATTACATTAACTATTACGGTAAGCAAATCTGCGAATGTTCATAGAAAACTATATTTTCAGGTAACTGTTATCAGTTATAACAACAAAAAGCTTGTGGGGGTGGAGCAAAAACCCAAAAGGATGGTTAAACTATAAACAACTTTCACGAGGTATGTATTGATTTATCAAATTAGCCTAATTGATTAATTCAGAATTAATTCAGATTGCCTTATACCTATAGATACTAAACAATGACAGCATGTTCTCTTGATGTCTCATGAATTGGATTCTTAATAATATTGCATCACCACTATTTAGAAGATGTAAATGTTATACATAGAAAATATACATATATGTACTTAGTAAGTTGCAATCACGATCGTGGATTGCAAATGTGATGAAGCCTCAAATTAGCGTTTCTTTTTTATCATTTCAGGTATAACGATTTTACATCAGGGGAACTAAATCGGCGAATAAGAAGGCACAATGACAGGGTGTTAGCATTAACGAATGATTAAGGAATGACAAGAACAATTATGGACTAAACACACCCCTACACCTTTGAACTGATACCCTTGTAAAGGCAATGACATTTACCAGTTGTATGTTATTGGGAGTTAGGGTCATCATCATTTATATACAGAACGACAGTTTTTGTACATTGTGTAAATAGTGAATCTTTTGTAATATACTGTTATTTACTGTTACTGTGGTAAATCTTCAATCTGAAGGAAATAAAACAATACGATACTCCTTTAGTAAATGATATGATGAATAAACTTATAATTTGGTATATATAACAAGATAATGTATTATGTTTTTAATGGTATTATAGCTGGGATACTTGTTTGGTTATAATATTAATAACTGAAGAAAAACCAAGATACATCAAAATCATGTGATATCATACGTAACCCTTAAAAATCCTTACCCTTGATGGTCTAATTAAAAACAAGATCTTGATAAAAATGTCAATTTAATACATTTTTATTGATTCAATATACAAAAATTCATCCCCGATTATTTTTAAAAGTTGGTACAAAATTCATACAAATTTAGCACTAATTCCACGCTAATTCGGTGCAAAGTCATCACTAAAGTTAGTGCTGAGTTAGCGCTGAGTTAGTGCGAATTTTGTACCTGCCGTATAGCTCGATTGGTACTTAATCAGTACTGACAGTTTAGCGCTAATTCCACACTAAATTAGTACTAACTCCACACTGATAATTTGATTGCGGATTGGGGGTGTAAATAATTAAAAATGTTAAACGGGAAGGGTATATCTTTCTCTGTTGTTTAAATCCTAAAACACACCTCATCCAACTTCCAACCCTGGGAAACATAATATCAAATCAGATTTTAAAGATGAGAGGAAGAGCTAGTAAATGCGAAAGGGGGTGGGGGGGGGGGTGACAGAGGAGAGAAGCAAGAGGAGTAAGACCAATAGAAAAAACAATATGGAACCTGCATTAGGTGAGGGTTGAAACATGTCTCTATTATCTAACCTCCATGATTCTCAGCTTTCTTATCTCATAAAATATACAATGTCTGAAAAACTATCCATTTTTATCTTTGAATAAGGGAGGTATATCCTTTGTGAAATGATAAATGCATAGAAAACAAAGATTAAAGAAACAATAAATATAAAATTCAAATGTTAGGTATTTCCAGAAACTTGTATATGAGTCTCAATGATAGGTAAGATGGATGGGGGGGGGGGGGGGGGGTATGACCAGGGCTATAATTCTAAAATTTTAAAATAAAATAAAGATAAGTGTAGGCCTTCGCAAATTGTAGCTTTGTTTTTTTGGCCAAAAAACTTTGGCCTTGGGGATTTCTATTTCATTTCATCTATTTTATAATTTAGAATAAACAATGATAAAATGACTTTTAGCCTCCCTTGTTTGTTCAAATCAACAGTCAATGTTTTAACCTTAATGGGTCCTGGTTTTCATCTAAGTTGGATGAGCTCAAAAACAAAACTGCTTGGCATGCAATATACCTGTTCATTTGAAGAATATGCAAATAGCTATATTCAGATAGAGATGTTTACTGATACAAAAAAACAGATTAAGTTTAAGCATAAAAATATCAAAGTGATATTATTCTCTGAAAACTTTTAGAATCACATCATGATCTAGCTAGGAGAACCAATTTAGTAAAACCAATTTAGTAAAACCAATTTAGTCAATGATCAAGAATAGAATCTCTGCTTTCTTATGATGTATGAACCTGATACCAACATAAGTAAACGATATTTCTGTATATACCCATTATATTAATGAATGGGATCAGCTTTCTACTAATTTACCAATTATGCAGCGTGATAATCAAAAATGCTACCGACCCACATAATTTTAGAATTCATGCAGACAAAAAAGTTATGCAACATAATGTGGGTAGGTGTGGGTGCCATCAATGCCATTCCGAAGAAGGGTCTGAGGATTAGTAGGCAAATTATCCAAAACAATCTCAAATTAGGATATGATAACTACTAGACCAAAACCATACCACAAGTGAGAGGTAACATATTTTCAATGATCATTTTCATATAAGCATACGCGGTACTAACTCAAAATCTTTCTTTAGAAAATCAATGATTGTGAGTCTTATAGTACAACGTTTTTCTTCAAACTTGTTCCATTAAAACCTTCACAGAAATACCTTTCAGTCGAAACATTGCTTTTGTTTTCAAAGTCCCTTGTTTTAGCGGCATTTTGGTCCCCAGATGTGAGAAGTTGCAAATCCTCAGAGATTTCAACCAAAATCCTTGATATCTCGTAATGGTTGGAAAAAATCCAACCATTACCATACCTCAAAAGTCATAATTTGGGGGACATTGGCATACCAAATCTAAAAATCTGGGTCCATTGCCATACCAAATGTCAAAAAAAGGTACCCCTTGTGCACCGAGGATCCTCGAAAATATCAAAATGGCCTTTCAAACCACCATTGTTTGGAAATGGTGATAGAAAATCAATGTAGACACAATGTAGGTAATTGTCTGACAAATTGCTATGTAAAAAAGATGACAACGAGCAACACTGAATCCCTTCCCTAGCCTACCATCCACAGTGAGCACCATCAATCTTCATTATTCAGTTATAAAACTGAAAGTGCGGTTACTCTTTTGACTTCCGGTTTGGACTCCCATTTTTGTTTGGTCATAATCACTGAGTTGGTGTATATTTTACTTTATTTTTTAACTTCAGTTGAGTCTCAATACTCAAAGCATTATTTTGATACTTAAAACATGGTCGGAATCACTTGCAAATCGCAGATATTTAACTTGAAGCACAAACTTCTTACTTTTTTAGGCCAAAACTCCACGCATAGACATGACATCATATCTATTTATAGATCGCCGAGAAATGTTAAAGTTTTCTGACAATTTACAAAAATATGAACGTTGAATAAACATAAAATATCAGTGATCAAAGCCCCTGGCAAATTATTTAGAATTTTCTTTTTTTCTAAGTTATCGGACTTCATTATGTTATGTTAGATATTAGATAGATGGTGCTGACTATACTGCCGTCTATTTGCAAGTAGACTCAATGTCCAATATTAGACTATATCCTATTTAGTCTGAATTATATTCAGACTATAAGGCACCTATGTTAAAGTTTGGTAATGTGAAATATTTGTTTACATAGGAAGTGCTATTCAAAATGGCCGATTGGTAAAATTAATTTGCACATTTGTTACTTCAACTAGCTTTATTTCCACTTGACAATATGCTGTGTTACTTTTTATTGCATTTAATTGTACCTTACTATTTAATTGAGATTTTGTAATGTTTATTTTTTTGAAGAAATGGTTCCTCTAATTGATAATTTTGTGCAAAAAATTTCACTGCAATTTCCACAGGAAAGTAGTACATCATAACAGACTGACTTCTAGTCAGTCTGTTGGATACATACTACTATTTTTTTCAAGGCCTGTCTGCGTCGCTAACATGCTAAATATAAGAGTTAGCTGACGTTTGGGAGTCTGACTTACCTTCTAAAGGTTAGAACCCGAATCTTAATGAAACCATATCACCTTTGTTCCGTCAACCATGGAGCATTTGCCACAACATCCAAGAGGTAAATCATGGATCGAGAAAATGAATGATTTCCTTGTAAGTTCCGGAAGTTTCAATACGAAAAATTACCAAACATATGTGAAAACCGAATATTTGTTCGTTGTTTTCACGATTTACAGGTTCGTTTGTTCTTCAATGTTTTGGTCTAAATTATAAAGCATCACCAACAGGTCTTTCTCTATTAATCGACTAATACAGCAGACGGCTCATATTTCTACGTAGCATTTCATTCAGACCAATAGTGGGAGTGTAGATCACGCAGTTTCGTTCGTTGCGTACTTAACTTGAAATTGGTAATTTTTAATATTGACTACTTCACGATGTAGAACATTGCTTAATATTCTTTTAATTTTCACACCAGACATGCTTGGTTGACACGTCAACAAAGTAAAGTTCAAGGGTCAATGCGTTATTTCGTGATAACTACAACGCCTTCCCGGAAGTCAACATTGATGAAAAATGAAAAAGTCGGAAAAGCATTTACGCTAATTTCTATCAAATGCTATGTTTATGCATCATCATCGACGCAACAAAGGTGATATAGTTTCATTAAGATTCGGGTTCTAACCTTTAGAAGGTAAGTCAGACTCCCAAACGTCAGCTAACTCTTATATTTAGCATGTTAGCGACGCAGACAGGCCTTGAAAAAAATAGTAGTCCAATATATCAAGATGATGTTGTAGCCTGTAACATAATGTAACAAGACATTTATCATAACATATCATATCAGCCTGTTATACATTCCCTATAGTCACGATTTTTAACTCTAAAGATGAGTCACTGTCCAAAAATAAGGAAGATTTGCTAAAAATATCTGAAAAAAATCTGAAGAAAATGTCCAACGTTTGACACTAACCTGGCGAGTCCATCATAGCTGCTGCCATTTGATGTAACTTTTTCTTGAAGCACTACCTTTTTGTGTTTAATACTGCGTCTGTCATATGGGAGTTTGATGCTAAATTCTAGAGATAAAGCGATTTAAATTCGCAAAATAATTTTGACTTTTCAATTCTCGCTATGTCCTAATAACAATGGCAAAATCTCGCAAGTGCACGGGACTTCACGAGATTACACATTTTGACATCCGGTGAAAAATAATTCGGGAAATTTGAGATGAAAATTAGATGAATGAGAAGCAAACTATGGGGTAAGTTAATATTTTATTGTACCTTTAGGTTACTAAGGAAGCCTGTCACGTTTTGATTGGGTCATGGCGAACATATGCCGCTGAATCGTGAACTTTTAAAAGTTTTCAAAAATTATGTTATTTTTCTGAAATTTTATTCACGACTTTCCAATAAGATGGGATATACTCAAGAATTCAGAAATGTTTATCTTGAGTTTCATCTTTACTAGACGGTGAACACCGCCTCTAATGCGTTGGATTGTCGTAAGGACTTGCATTAGAGGCGGTGTTTATCCTTGTAAATTCATGCCAATCTAAGTTTTTCTTGATTATTTTTGACGGTTCACTTTATTTTAATCTTCTGCTTAGAATCTCTGCGTCATTTACAGAGAAATATAAACAAAATGGATACATTGATGATTTATACAAAAAATTACCATAGCTTTGTGGTTGTAGAAGGTTGAATTGTGCTAATTTTGTAGCTAAATCGCCGTTTGTCGCTACTGTTCACAAAATCTTTATGGCGGCTTCTATTCTCACGAGATTTGACGAGAGTAGCCATTGAATATTGCTGCCATCTATTTAACTATACAGAGTTTATATCAGTCATTCGAACATCATGTATTCGATGGATCTATTCCAGTATTCGCATAACATAAAACCAAAGTTTGGATTTGATTTGAAGCCAGAACAGTTACAAGACGTAATAACAACATATTGAATCAAGAATCCACTATAGCAGTTTTACCAACTGGTTATTGGAAAACATTACAACACGTGATCATCAAATTACGTCACGTCACGTGATCATCACACTGATATATGCAACGCATGCGCACTTGAAATTAGGTCAGCGAAAATGTCAAGAAGACCGGTCAGAAATGCTATTTCGTCTTATCTGCAACGATTACACATAATTACTGTAATAAAGCGAGGCATTTATGGGTTCATTTTGAAGATTTTTGGTCCCGCTATCCAGTGGTGAAAGAATTTTCAAGATTGAGGTAAGATCTTGGGAGAAAAGTCAAAAACATCAGATCCGGACTTTTCAGCATTTCTTAAATTTGATAAATTTACATTGCACGTTATGCACCCCTGGGGCCAATACGATCCTCAGAGACCCAGAGGGTGCATGAATGCACCTACATCTTTACATGAAAATATGTTCATCTCTGAATTTTGGCGTATTTCCTGCTCTTTTTTCCAGTTTAGTTTAGCCTTTTATTTTGACATTGCCGCACATTCAGATCCTTATATCTGCTCTAGGCCAAAGGGGTGTAATGTCGATGTGTGGGGTAATGTCGACATATAGACGGGGTAACTTCGACACTTACGTATTAGAAGTAGAATTTCCATTTTCCGCCATGTTTGATTTCTGGAAAAATTAAAATCTCGCGAGATCTCTATCCATGCGATAAAAAAAACATGGCTTTCCCCTAGATCGGAAATTAGAGCAAATAAACAACAAGGTGTCGAAGTTACCCCACATGTCGAAGTAACCCCAAAATGGTGTCGACGTTACACCCCTTCGCCCTATGCATTAATGGGGTTACTAGCCTTTTGCAGATTATTGATGTAATGTTAATGACATCACATATTATATATAATCAACAGTAATGTGTGACGTTAAAATTATATCTTTGTTTAGTTGCTGATGGGGCAGTATGTGACTGATGTAATAGGTTTTGTATATATCTCTGAATCACCATCACAGCATATTATGACAACTTGGTAGTTGCCTTGACGAATTGTCATATAAGCTAATTATGTCAGGGCTTGCGGAACTGGAAGCCACATGAATGGTTCAAACCCATTTCATAGTATGAAGGGCTCCACCCACTTCATGGAGAGGGGGGAGCTTGGTAAAAATATTTTTTCCAAACACTGTCCAAACGCTGATAGTCTATTGGCAGAAAGAAAGCATTGGTTTTGAAACTGAAGTTTGGCATAACTCATGAAATTACTGCCATGCACATTTTGGTGAAGTTATAGTATAAGGCCAAACAAAAATATTTCCTGCTCCATGAATTTCAGATTAGGGTTGGTAGGTATGTTTTTTGTCATCTCTTGTTTTGTCAGTTGCTCTTAACCGCCATGAGACCTTAATTCATCATGCGGTCTACGATCATTTGATCCATACTTACTTGAAACCTTCAGATATTGAACTAAATAAACAACTTGGTTGTTAATGTTATTAAGTTTATTTAAATCTGTTTTTATATTTCTGGCCTCTAATTTGAAGATCTAAGGCAATTGCTAGACCTCTCTGGGAGTTGATTGCATGTCTGTATTTTGAAGAGCAAAAATGGCGAACTTACAAGAAAATAAACAATATTTCCTGTGTTTCAAGTGTTTTGGGGGCCCTAACGATAATATTACTGCAAATCTTCCAGAGTATGAGAAATATGGACACCTGGGCCTGATGTGAGTAAAACATTTTAGAAGGAAATGTATTGTTTCGAGCGAGTAGGGGGAGAGATAGAATATTTTATTTTTCAGTTTACAAAAAAAGGTCTTAGGGTCGGGGGGGGGGTCGTGGGCTTGAGTGACCCCCTGATTTTGGTCATTTTTGGGCCAACGTTGTCAAAAGTGAACCTCCCCTGAAATTTTCTAAAAGTGATTCCCCTTTGGCAAATCCTGGCTACGAGTATAGTGAGACTTCTCTGGGGCGTAAATTCAGAAATAAGACTTTTTTGGCTTAAACAGATGAGATTACTACTTAAAAGAATAATCCAAAACTGCAAATATTTCAAAGTGAAAAATCGCACGATGGAAGTTTTTAAGGGATGGCGATGCATATATTTAGCATTTGGTTATACTCTAGGCAGTTACAGTGATGTGATAATGGCCAATATAATAGAAAGATTGGCGATAACCTGGATATTCTTGTTAGTTCTGGTTCTTATAAGAACATCGCAATAAATGCACATTAAATAGATGGAATTACTGTGTTAACTATTGATTCGGTTAATTCTGTTTGATTTGCTACCTGAGATGAAGCCTGTAGAAACAACCTGTGCTACTAAAATTACATATTAAAGCGAATATGAAATATATTTCCCAGAATTTCCATCCCTTAATGATGATACTATTACCCTCGGCTCTACAAATTATTTTAATTTTTGAGACTAATAAAAATCGTAATGATATCTAATGTTTGGGATTTAATTTATGATGCAGTAGAATAATCTGAATCTTTAAAGTAGTAACAGTCTTTTACAACAAAAATGTTTCCAGCTATAAATCATGTACTCCTAGATACTACATATTGCCGTCTAATTCATCATAATGATGATTTCGCCCAAGCTAATTGCTTTAAGTAGTTATGTGTTAACTTGACTCCCTGATTGGATCATTTCTTATACATGTTATGTATATTAGTCTTAATGTTTGATAAAGTATATTTATAATTTCACTTACATCTGTTTATTAATTACTCAAAGTGTTATGTGATTCTACTTTTAATTAATCGATCAACATCCTTAGACTATAATTAGCTATGTGCTAGGTCTAATTGTTTATTAACGACTTGTTGTGTATAGTCATAGAAAATTGAGGAATTTATGAAAGTATTTATAGTTGTATTGGGGCCTGGTAGTAAGCATCATTGTAAAATGGTTTTTGAGGGTGATATACCTGCGCCGATGTCAAAGGACATGATACAACATCTAGACAATGTTAGTCATCTGGGCTACCAGCCTGACAGGGATATGTACATATATAGAAATATCAATGTCAAGTAAGTTAAATTACAATTATATAATAATTATATGAGTATGTGGGAGAATCATCTATATGTTTTTTTGTTTTTGCACTTTGCACAAATTGCTATAACTAAGGTCATTGTTACTAGCTGTAAGGTAAATGTCATTAGGTTAAGTATCACCAACTATAAGGTCAAGTCACTAACTATAATGTCAATGTCACTAACTATTTGGTCAATCTCACTAACTATACGGTCAATGTCACTAACTATAAGGTCAATGTCACTAACTATAAGGTTAATGTCACTAACTATAAGGTCAAGGTCAGTGGTAGCTAGCTTTGAGATCAATGTCACTAATTGTAAGGTCAATCTCATTTACTATTCGGTCAATGTCACTAACTGTAAGGTCAATGTCACTCACTATAAGGTCAATGTCACTCACTATAAGGTCAATGTCACTAACTGTAAGGTCAATGTCACTAACTATAAGGTCAATGTCACTAACTATAAGGTCAATGTCACTAACTATAAGGTCAATGTCACTAACTATAAGGTCAATGTCACTAACTATAAGGTCAATGTCACTAACTATAAGGTCAATGTCACTAACTATAAGGTCAATGTCACTCACTATAAGGTCAATGTCACTCACTATAAGGTCAATGTCACTAACTATAAGGTCAATGTCACTAACTATAAGGTTAATGTCACTAACTATAAGGTCAAGGTCAGTGGTAGCTAGCTTTGAGATCAATGTCACTAATTGTAAGGTCAATCTCATTTACTATTCGGTCAATGTCACTAACTGTAAGGTCAATGTCACTAACTATTCGGTCAATGTCACTAACTATTCGGTCAATGTCACTAACTGTAAGGTCAATGTCACTAACTATTCGGTCAATGTCACTAACTATTCGGTCAATGTCACTCACTATAAGGTCAATGTCACTAACTATTCGGTCAATGTCACTCACTATAAGGTCAATGTCACTAACTATTCGGTCAATGTCACTAACTGTAAGGTCAATCTCACTAACTATAAGGTCAATGTC